CCACGACACCTCTGATCTGTACCCCAGCTCTTGTATGCATAAGTAAATAAATCTTTAAAAACAAAAAAGAAGATAGGACACATATACAGAATGGAATACTAGTCAGGTGCGAAAGGGATGACATCTAACTATTTGCAACAACATGGATGGGAACGGAGCTGCTTATGCTAAGTGAAATAAACCAGAAGGCAAAAGACAGATACCAGATGGTTTCGCTCATATGTGGAATATAGAGAAGCACAACAAAGGAACAGACCAAACTAAAGCAAAACAAACTTTAGAAATTTGACTGTAGAATTAAGGCTGCCAAAGGAGAGGAAAGTGGGGAGCCAAGGTGGGAGGGGGCCCAATGGGCCACAGTAGAAGATGGCGGGTGCCTTGGTGTGGTGGTGGTGTGGTGTCCATATATCTAAAGAGGTGTAAACCTACCCCTTGAAATTATAGACACTTTAATAAATCAATACTACCTCAGTAAAATAATACAATTAAAAGAAAAAAGTCCCCAACAGCCTTGCTGAATCTGCCCCACGTTGCTTGGCGGCTCAGAATACTTGCATTGGAGTACTGCTCCTGGCTCTTCCAGTCTTTCTTTACTCCCTCCCCATCCTTTCTTATGTGACTATTTCCCAATAAAATTCTTGCAAGTGTAACCTCATCCTGGTAGCTGAGTCTGCTCAGGGGAACCGAACCAGAGCCCCAGGTTAATAGAGTGTGCTCTTGAGTCTGGTGGCGAAGGCCTCCCGCAGAAGAAGGTTTATAGAAGTGATCGAAAACTATGACTTCTAGAGTCAAGTAGATGTCTTGAGATGTGGTGACTGTGTTGTTACAGATAAACAGAGCTGACGTCTTTGACTGGAGCCACTGTTATGTGTCAATGTGTAAATGAATGATGAGAGTGAACACGCCATGATAATTGAATAATATGTGGACCACAGCTCAAAGGGAAAAGCTGCAGAAGCCACAGAGTAACACAATTAGCTCCTATGTAGCCTAACTTTTGTTTCCTTTTGTTTTCATTCTGCCTTTCCTCCTTTCCCCTCTTCTTTTATAATCATTTTACTACTCTTGCAGCTTCTATACCAATCCCTCAATCAGCAGTTTTAAAATAGGATGTAACACTGAATTTATCTTTTATCCTCTGGCATTTTCCTTTCCTGTTTCCTGAAAGGTCTCCATCTCTAATTCTGCCTAGGTTGCCTCTTAAGTCCATTTCAAACTATTACCCAGTACAGACTAATCAGCACATTCTTTTTGAATCTGAACTATAACCTCTTAGAAATAGCTCCCCCCATCCCTTTTTTACCCATTTCTACTAAATCGTCACATTATGCTGAGAAGTCAGGGAAAGTTTATATCCTGAGTTGAAATCTAGCTCTTTTGTTGAAGGAATTCAAACCAGGACACACTTTTTATAATAACCCTTCACTTTAAGCCGTTGACACACTTACACAATGTTACTTTTTATTTAGCTTCGGAAAGTTTAACTTTTTATTATAGTCTTCTAAAAATTCCTCGCTCCGCCTGTGAAGTGCTTTGATTAGTTATTTGGGAATAGATTCCCCTTGTTTGTGCTTTTGGCAAAACCCTGGCATTCCTCCGTTTTCCACAGAAAGTGAATGCCCTTCTTCCTACAGAACAGAGCATGTGGGGGCCCAAAGCATTTTTCATAAGAAAAGGGGCATTGAAAGCAATACTTTCCTAAGCTTAATAAAAAGCAGTTGTAGCTGAGCAACGGCAATGATGTCATTTAAATTTTATCTTGCATAAGCAGCAATGTGAGGAAATTCCAGAATTAATAAGTCTGCTGGTACAGCTGTGCCCTGAGTTGGAAAGTTCAGGATGTTCTTTTCATACTCACGACTGGACATTTTGCTCCACATTAGCTTTGGCGAGCATAATTGGCTCCTTCGATTTCCAAGCTGCTAAAACACTTACAAACTTGCCTATTTAAAAAAAAGATGTAAATTTTTTAATGAGTACACTAAGTGGTTGTTTTGTTTGAAAATTATTGTCTTACTTGCAATGATTTTGTAATAGCTAATCATTTTTTTGTTCATAAAATCCTTCAAAGATATTGAGTTAAGAAATGGAAAATGCTAGCTTTGAGAAATAATTAAAGGGAGTGGAGAGTTAAAAACCAAGAACTATCTTTTTCACCATCACTGCAGCTCTTATCTAGAGAACAGAAGGGCAAGCTTCCCATCAAGAAAACTTCCTAAAATAAAATAGGAGCTGCTGCCTCATGATCCAGAAGCATCTTGAACAGTGTAATGGAAACTGAGAGAGTATCTCACATAAAGGAATGGTCTTGGTGTGTTATCATACTCGACGGTTTACTTCGGTTTATGGCTTATTCATGTCAGGTGTTTTACCCTTTCTTTCCCTGTCTTTACTCTTACGAGGAAAGAGAAAGGAAGTTTACTTAGAGCCAAAGGCTGTACAAAGCTGAGCAAAAATGAAGAGTTTTCATCTGAGAAAACTTCTATGTTGCTCTAATTTCAAAACTAATCCTTCATGCTGCTCGGTTTATTTAGATCACTTTCAACACTGTCTCAAAGTTCAGCTTTTTATGATTATGAGTGTCTGAATGACTTTGGAGGGTGACTCTACAATTACTAAATTTACAGCTGTATTGGCCCCAAATGAAGAGCATGCAGATATTTTATTATTTTGTCTAGACATAATAAAATAGTTTAAGGCTGAATTTCATTCTGAAAGAGAAGTTATGAACCTTGAGTCCTAGAGCATGTAATTTACAGCCAGACTCACTGAATCCCTCCTCATTTAAGCTAGCAGTAAGTGAATCACCTCAGTTCTCTGAACCACAATTTTCTTACATAAAGTGAAGATTATTTATAATGCCCTCCTCACTGAATAATTATGAAAATAAAATTTTAAAATATAACTTAACTTTAAAGAGTCTTTATAAAGTAATGAGTAATCCTTGAAGAAGTGTTACTGACATTTCTTTCCTTTTTCTTTTAACTTCATTCTCCTTTAGTTTATTTTTAGTGTACACAATGTGGGTGGAAAGAAAGACCACAGTCTTTCAGTTGTTCTAAAAAGATCATCATATTTCTTTTGACTTTGAAAGATTTAGCTGGCTAAATTGATGGAAAGCCCATTCAAAATTGCTTTTGAATTCTTAATTGTGTAGCAACCAAACTGAAATTTTGACATTTCTAAAGGTGTCAGACAACTGAGCTACGTTTAATAGACATCTCTGAGAAAGAAATTTGACAGTGAAGAGAGGAGTATTCCATCAATCTCTACCCAAATTTAAAAAAAAATACTTGAGTCTCCTTTTCTCAACCCTCCTGGATGTTGCCAGGGACAACTGTTTGATAGCTGACTTAATTCATCGCTGGCCCCTTTCAGAAAGTGACAGAAAAGGCATTGTATAGAGATAGACAGAGATAGGTCCAGGGTAGTTATTTGCTGACAATGAAATAATGCAATGGATGTTCTATCTAATGAAAAGTAATAATTCATTTCAAAACGCTAATAAGAAACTATTATTATTCTTTTATAAAAAAATAACTAAGTCATGTCATCAATCTGCATCATAGAATATGACTAATTTTTCAGCAATTAAAATGAACCAAAAAGTGGCATGATGGAATTTCATATTTAGAATGTATCACATTCTAAAACATTATTTTAAAATAGGCAAACATGAAAAGTAAAAGTAAGATATCAAAAGGTACACTTTAAATATACAAATGCACCATAATTTTAGTATGCACAAATAAATACTTGGATGTTGTTAACATTCTAGTGATTGGGGTTTTTATAAACATTTTTTAAAAATTATCCTCTTATAAGTTTTAAGGATGATTTAAAAACCAATCAATTACAACATACACACACACACACACACACACATTTCTTTCTTAAATATGCACTGTTGCTATGAACATAGAACTCTGTTGTGTTCTACTCTAGATTCTCCTTCCTATGCTTATTTCTATTTCATCTGAGATTAAAAGCTCTGGAAGATAGCTTTCCATAAATGAGACTTTTCTGCTCTGGTACAAACATCAAGAACTGTAACCTGAATTGAAATGGGAAGAACAGGCATTTATAGTTTAGCAGTTCCGTGTTCTATTGCATATTCCCTCAATTATATTGCAGGGCATATTTAAACTTGACTTTGGCGTGAGTCTTTTAAAACAGATCCTTACTTATCTACTGCTACATACACTAAATAATTTTCAGATCCCCATGTGCTTTTGTGATTCTTGTTCCTGTTTGTAGTTTGCACGAGGGTTTGAAAAGTACTTGAAGATACAGCAAAGAAAACTGCCAATCCAAATGATAAATTTTCCCTCTCCCACATACTTGTATTTGTTGATGTGTTTGTATGTTTGCTATTTTTCTGCTAAAAATGCATGTTAAGTTTAACCTAGTCAACACACTGAAATGGGATTTAAGGAATGTGAATACCCAGTACCTCTGGCTCACTGAAACTCTGTGACATAGCACTCTGACTTTCCTTGACTCATTGTCTTTCAGACAGCTGGGCTTGATGCTAAGCAAATATAAAAACCCTATTGAACTTTGAGGAACATCATATCATCTGGAGTAACCACCTAATGATTCAAAGAATGTTGAAAACTACAACGCACTATAAAGTTCTAAGAATGACTAATGAAAAGACTCCATCCTGGCATTTTTTTTTTTTTTAAATCAGGGTCCACCAAAAAGGAAGAACCCAGCCCTTGTTTCCATTAATAATGTTTGTTCATCATCTTCCATAGCTTTCAACCAATAAATAAAAAGGTGGATGAGTCTAAACTGTATTGTATTTTGACTTCAGATTTCATTCTAAAAACGTATTCAGAAATACCTCATTGAAATGAAACAAAGGTGAAACCTTTTGCTGCAGTCACTCTTCTGAATTTTCTCAATGAAAAGGCTGGATTGTTGAGAAAAGGTGAGAACATTATGGATAAAGACAAGTTAAAAGTTTGTTAAAACAAGATTTTTGGATGGTTTATTCCTATTTCATCTGAGATTAAAATTAAATGCCACAAAAGAAAAAAACTGCTGAACTGCTATGAAATTATTACTACTGATGAGGAGAGTTAAGTGACTTTGCTAGGGAGTAGAATACTGAACAGCAACATTTAGAGTCAGAGGTTTTTGTGGCACATACAATTTTCTTTTCATAGGTCATCAGATTCTGGTACAGCGGTATCCTCTGTGGATTCTGAAGTTACCACTATAGGAATATTCTCAGATGTCCATCCTTTTGGAGTCCTATTAAAGGACCGTCTGCCGGAAAGTGGATTGGCAAAGGCCATAAACCTGGGATCTGTTGTAAGAAGTAACTCAAAATCTGGAACCTTGAATTTAACCATCTTTGATGCTTTTTCAAAACCTCCAAATGGGGTGGCGACTCTGTGGGAAGTGGAAAGAAAAAGAATACATGAGTTAGTTTTCTAATCTGTTTTCCAGGAAATAGAAAACAACTTAATTCATGATTTATGGGCATGTTGTTACATTATATTCTTTTTTTTAAAAAAATTATTTTTATTTATCTATTCATACAAGAAGTGGGGTGCAGGCCAGAGGTGAGGGGAGGGTCAGGGGGTGTGAGAGGATTCACCAGAGACACAGTGGAGAGCAGAACAGGCAAATCTACTGAAACACACTGCTGAGGGGAGCAAAGGCAAGACAGGAGAGTTCTGTTGCACCATGGGGGTCACCTCCCTGGCTGGGGATGGACCTCAGGCTGGCGTGGCTGGCAATATGTGATGGTGCTGAGACTTAACCCCAGGAACACCCTATGTTAAATTCTTAGTATAATTTTCAGTTGACCTCTTAGGGAAGCATTTCCACTTAAGACCATCCTTTTGATAGAACAGATACTTGATACCAAATTGATTAAAGTCCCTCTGTAGGTTTTCTTAGTTTTGAATTAACCTAATCTATTCCTTGTTCTCTGATCCCATCACAAAGATTTCTTGTCTTTGTGCCTTTATTAAGAATGTCTTCCTTGCTTGAGATATCTCTTCCCAGCCTCCTCTCTACTTTTATGTCCTGTGACCTTTCAGTTCTAATTTTCCTCCGACTATCCTTAACTGAATTCCTGTAGCATGAATTGATTTATGTCTGACCTTCAGTGCTTATGATATGGTATTTGGTATTGTCTTCTCTTTTTAAGAATGCTTTGTTTGGGGTCATTTAGGAATTACAAACTCTTTGAAGGTGAAAGCCTTTCATCTTTTTATCTTTACCTTAAAAACCTCTAAATCCTATTAGTCATCTGTTTAAAGTCTAACTCCTTACCTTAGCATTCAATGCCTCACATAACTTTCCAGCTTTGCTTGATTTAGCCATTATGTATTTTTTTAATGATTTTATTTTTTTATGCATACAGAGCTGGGGTACAGCCCAGAGGTACAGAGGCAGTGAGAGGATTCACCAGAGACAGAGTGGGAAACAGGACAGACAGATTGACCAAGTATAGTGCTCAGGGGAGCAGCAGGATAGATAGGCGAGGTCTGCTGCACCATGTGAGCCACCTCCCTGGCCAGGGACCAAACTCTTGCTGAAGCAGCTGCAGCCAGCTCTAGAGGCTGAAAATATAAAGAAGCTTAAACTCTGGTATTATAGTGAAAGAGAAGTATTATACACACACACACAGATAAACACCCAGCAGAGAGAGTGGTTCCATGAAAAAATTTAAATGGGGTAGAGGGAGAGGGTAATAGGCATAACTGAATGAGTAGATACTCCAGGAAGACGTCACTGAAGAGGTGACATTTAAACAGTTATCTGAAAGTCAGAAGTTTGCCGTGGACAGTATGATGGAAACACACTGGTAGCTGATGCAAAGAATCTAAGCCAAAAATAACATTGGCATTTCAGGCAAACAATGAAGGGCCATATTACTAGAGAAGTAATGCGGGGGAGGGGTGATAGGAGAGAAGAGCAGACAGAAAGGACGATGGTGTGGAGCTTGGGCCAATCAGATGTGGATTCACTCTAAGTGGGAAGAGGACCCACATGAGGTGTTCAGCTCAGCAGTGAAGACATATTTATAAAGACCACTCTGGCTATTACTGTCCTGCCAAGAGATTACAGGAGGACAAAACGGGAAGAGGGAACATACTGTCCAGTTCAAGAGAGAACTGATGGCATCTTGAATTTCAGATGTTTTCCATGAGGATGGAAAGATGCGGTTGGTTTCTGGGGTTTCAGGGGTGGCGTCAACAGGATTTGCTCATACATTAATAAAAATTGTGATGGAAATGTAGGAATCAAGGACAACTTCTAGGCTTAGAGTTTTAGCAACCAGCTCATGGAAGACAGAGAGGTACAGGTTTGGTGTGTGCATGGAAAAAGGATTTCAACATCCAGGTGGAAAGGTCAAGCCGGCCGGCTTCCTCTGCTGGCTGGTCTACCCTTTGCTCCTGCAGCCTGGATGCCTGCTGCTTCTTCTCTGGCTCCCCCACTGGGTGCCTTTCCTCAGACTCTTCTTGGAGGACCCTGAGCCTTATTACTTGTTTTAAAACCCCCTTTCGGTTTTAAAACTAGGTTCTAGTTCTCCCACTTCCAAATCCCTTTAAGTCCTGGATATGTTATTTAAGCAATACATTTCACTTTCTTGAAGCTTTTCGATATTCTGCAGCCAGAAAGAAGCTTCCTACTCCCGTCTCATGGTTTGTGTTTTTTTTTTTTTTTTACCTCCCTGGTACCCCCATTTCCCACCTTAACATTATGCCCTTTATGATTTTGGCACGTCTGCCTTGGTTCTTTGTGTAACCACAAAGTACACTAAGACTACGGGAAATCTCCCTGATGGACTCTGTCACTCCTTACAATATACTTTGAGAATGCATAGTCCCTAGAAGATGCCCACTGGACAATGGGACTGGCAGGACTACATAAATTTTCAAACATGTGGAGAGTATTTTAAAACCTGAAAGAGAAGTGATTTTCTTCATAGCCTCATCACTCTGAAATCTTTCTGGAAAGTCCCAGATCGTGTGTGATAGTAGTAAGGAAACTGGGACTCTAGATAGATTAGAAGGCAGTGATTTATAGATTTCGAAAAGTGGGATGACTCTTACATGTGGCGCTGAAGCATTACTGAGAAAGAACGAATGCAAAGTATAGATACAGTGTCATGGAGTGGGGTGCTTGAAATTCAGATTCTGAAGATGACTCAGGAATTAGTCATAACAAACTTTAAGCCAAGAATGTGTTACTGAGGTGGGATTGAAAAAAACATTCTTGACAGCAAGACAGTCAAGAACACTCTAGAAGTAGACAATTCAGCAGATCATTTACATGGCTACTGAAGCCCCCAAAAGGGACCACAGGAGACACAGAGTCAGGCACTGAAATCTTCACTGAGGATGTCAGTAGAGTGAATAGCTGACCTAAAAAAGGGTCTAGCCAGGAGGTTTCTGTCACATAGTTTAGAGTCTCATGTCTCCTTGGTCCTTGGTTTTCTCATATTTAGTGTTTTGCTTCCTGCTGAAAAGCACTATGCTGTAGCTTCTACTGCATCTGCCCTCAGGATCACTGACTATCATTTATTGTCCCAAATTATAAGGACAAATGGATAACCTTGCCCTCATGTAGTGATTATGTCAGCATAGACTTTCATACTTAGGGTCTAAAACTACCAAGCTGGAGGTGAAAAAAAAAAAAGAGGTCAGTTTGCTAAAATACTTTAAGAGTAAGGCTACCATGCAAGTTATGACTGTAAAACTTTAGAAGGCAGAGTCATGGTGGAAGCTAAGTTCCTTGAGTGGGTTCTATGCACCAGACACTATTTTAAATGCTCCTGAAACTCTGTTGGTAAAGGAATTACCATGGTCTCTAAGCACAGATGTGGATTCAGTCTAGTGTCAAGTTGCTGCTCGTTTGCACACCTCATTTTGAGTATATCTTTGACATCACATCATTGTCTCCTCAAATCCTCACAATACTCTTATGAGTTGGTCTAATTTATATCCCCACCTAATTGAAGAAACTGAGGCATCTGTATCATATATGCAGGCCAGTCTCAGCACCAAAACCTGAAACTAACAATGCACTGTTACTTCATTTAAAAACACAGAAACAATCACAGAGATGAGTCAACTGCCTAGCCCAAAGTCACCCACCTATTCGGTTGTAGAACCAGGATTGAACACAGGCAGCCAGACTCACTGGATGACTGCATTTGTACTCACTACAGTGGACAACATGCTATGAGATCATTCTTGAGGAGTGCTGGGCCTCTTGACATCATTTTCTAAGTGGGGCAGTGTGTTTAAAATGTCAACCCACTTGGGTTGTGGCAAAGTAATGCAAACCATTGCTGTCACATTCACGATACAATGGGCTAAAACAATGCCCTGCGTTTTTTCTTTGATTTTAGTGAATTGAAGAATCTTCATGACTGAAATTTGATTTAGCATGCAAAGAAAACTTATACTTGGATGACTCCGATGTCCGAGATCACATTGCAGAAGCTTCACATTTTAGAAGCTTACCATTGTAAACCATTGTTCACTTGTTGATTCATTCATGTATCCAAACAACATATTTCTGATCATTTATTACATCTAGACACTCTGCTGTGTGCTAGGATTTCATAGATCTCATCCTTAAAAAGCTCACAGACAAGTGAGGGAAGAGTGAAACGTGAGGGCAAAAGTAAATGCATCGTGGAAGATCAGAGAATGTCCTGAAGTCAGAGACCATAGGATGAAATGTCTCCTTATGGGTCCACACACAGAGCACAGGATGTGGACCAGCTGTGTTATTCGTAGAGACCAGTGCAAGACAAAGACTTGGGGGCTCTTACTAAAAACTGTTAACAATCAAAATAGATAAAGCAAAATCATATACATGACTGACTTTGCTTTATGTATATATATATATGTATATATGTATATAATGGATGAGCAATTGCATGGCCCCATGCTCAGAAGAGCCACGCTTGAGATACCATTCTTGGGAGTGTAAGAAGACTGTGTTACCCATCAGATACATGAGGTTAGAGTGGACTATTTCCAAATTTAGGCTGAATTTGTTCAATTCAATCAAATTAAATTTGACTCAATTTTGACTCAATTTAATCTTGTGTTTATTAATTCCAGAAATGAATTTTACTCTTATTTACTTATTTTTTCAGAATTAAATCAAAGAAGAAATGTTCTCTGTCACTGAAATTCAGTACCTGGCTTTGGCATTCAGTGCATTGATTTTTCCCTTTCTTTCCAGTTCTGTTTTGTTTTTCCCTCCCAGTTGGGGGGTCATTTTCTTCTCTTGTAAATGAAAACATTCCTTTCCTTTCCATCACCCACCTCCTACCTCCTACCACTGATCCGGTGAGAGGTTGCTGTTTGGAAAGCAGAGTTTTCTTTTCTTTGGCACCACTGAGACTATATCCTGTTTGTTTGAATTTTTATTGCCCTCAGCACACAAAGTAAAGAAAATCCCTTAACACAGAGGCTAAGCACTCAAAGTGAGAGAATATTTGTAGGATATTTGAGTTCTGAAAACAGTTGCAAGATTTAGTCATTTAGTGAAGCAAAAATTTCCACTAAAAGATCTGTAATATTCTACTGAAAAAGAACCATGAAACAATAATTCGTTTAACATCAGTTCTTCAAACATAGGTTAGACTAAAATTAATTTTGACTCTTTGTTATCGATGTAGTAAGTGATAAGTCTGTTTCTCTCAGATTCATAGATGATAGGAGATTTCTTGTTTATTTTGATTGATTAGTGATGGTATTCTGTTTGTAAAAATTAACATTGTGGGATATACAGTATATCCATTATAAGACAAAGATTTATGCAGAGTGGTTATATAAAAAAAATTTACTAAATTTTTCTACCAAGTAACTAATATATTTAGTATGCTCAAAGATACTTTTGTATTTACATTTATAATATATTTAAAAGAGACTTTTTATCCTAAGCTCCTTTGCTTTCAGACATTTTTCTCTGCTCTTCCAAAATAAATTAATTTGCCCTCATGTTTCACTCTTCAGTTGTCTTTGAGCTCTTTGAGAATAAGATCTACAATAACCTTTGCATCTTTGAATTCCTTTATAGATGAGGGAATTTATATGAGAGGTTAGTAATATACTCAGTCTACTTCTTGAAACAGAACTAGAAACTTCCTTGCTCCTAGCTTATTTTCCTGTTTTTTTTTTTTAACATGGGTATATTTGAATATTATTTGGATACTAATTCAATATATTTTTAAAATATATTGAAATTAAATTTAAATTAATTTTTTTTTTTTGCATAGAAGAGTGTACAGCAGAGGTGCAGGTGTGTGTGTGTGTGTGTGTGTGTGTGTGTGTAGAGGATTCACCAGAGACAAGAGTGGGGAGCAGAACAGGCAGAGGTACTGAAATGCACTGCTGAGGGGAGCAGCAGGTGGGACAGGAGAGGTCTGCTGAGCCATATGTGGGTCAGCTCCCTATCTGCAGATTGAACTCAGGCAGTCGGGGTGATAGCACTGAGATGTAATCCCTAGGCCACCAGTGAGACCCTAATATATAGCATTTTGAAATTGTGACTGAGAATCAATAATCATTCAGCCTTTATAACTGATGAAGCTATTAGACTGCAAATTACCCTTATATGCTTTATTAGAAATATTTAGTAATTGTGTTTAATAATATGTGGCTACCAAATAAGATTATTTTACTCATTGCAAAAGACTTAGGAAATAATTGGAAAATTGCTTAATTGCTTCTTTTTGTCTCGTGTCTGTTTCATACACATATACACACACTACATTTCCTAGTGGGAAAGTATTATGAACACTTGATATAGTACTCACTTGGCATTTATACAATTTATAGGCATCTTTTTTATAACCAACTCAAAAAATATCCCCAGTTTGCTGGAGAACTGGAAGCAGGCTTCTTGGCAGGTGGGGTGTATTGAAGTTATAATATATATATTTTTGTGTGTGTATATATATATTTTTGGACATATATATATATTTTGGACATATATAGAAGTCCTCTGACATCACTAAGCATTAATCTCAAAAACAGGCCTCAAGTACTCCATTAGCCCCTAAGGTTTTACTTTTTATAATTTTCTACACTCTCGTTGTGGAAAACATTATCTCATTGATTAGAATGGGCCTCCAGTAGCTTTTCCCTGCAAGCCCTCAGTCCCTCTTTAAATCCGATGGTGCACCTTATTTATGGGATAGATATAGCCAATTTAATTAGGACTCCTAGTAATGGTTAATATTAGCTGTAAGACTAGTAGCTGTGTAACTGATAATAATAGTAGTGTGAATACTAGTCATTCAGAGTGTGCAGAAACTAAAATCTTAAAGTACAATTATTCCAAAAGTACATAAACAGATCACTACTTAAAAAAGCCTTATGGCATTTTTTTGTAAGTCAAAGATGTACTCTTTAATTTATTCCTTTTTAAATGAAATGATTAAACTACCTATAGATTGGATCTACTTTTTTTGTGGGTATGAAATATCACACTGGAGATAATTTACTTTAACATGACAATCAAGTGATCAAAGAATGTATGAGGAGACCATTAAAACTATTTCTAATATCCCCATAGAAACTATAAAGGATGCATAACAGGGGAAAGCATAACCCAATATATCCATCACAATGCAGATATTATTTGGTAATGTCTTCTGTAGCATTAGTTTTGGCTGGTTCATGTGCTGGAGTGTTGGGTCATAAATCCTTACATAACCCATAACCTAACTTTAAAGAACATTAATTGGAACTTGGAATTGTAATCTTTCTCATAATATTGAGTTATTTTTAAAATTCCTAAACAACATTGACTTTTAAAGTCACATATAAACTAACATTGCCCTTTGAATTAGAAATTATTATTAAAATGATACTGGTAAATGTAGGATCTAGTCTTTGCTGTTGTAATGGTGACAGTTTCTGAACCATTTCTTTCATTTTTATTTAAAGATTACTAGAGTTGGCATATCAGTAATGTTGCAAATGAGTCTTTGCCTAGGCTCAGAATATTTCCTAGCTTGCTACTGAGGGCTTTCCTGAGGGGAGTATATATATTTTTTTCTATGAGTTTTCATTTCTCTATATGGTGCGTGATATTCTTAGCACCGCCAACAGTGAAGTGAATGCCAGCAGAATCTTGAGGGAAACAGAATTACCTGTTAAAGCTCCTGTAATCAGGCAGTTCCGCCTTTCCCTCGGGCTGGAGAAGTTTAGGGTATAAAGCCTCTAAAAGCTCTGGATCATTGCTGATGGCTTGTTCCCAGGGCGACTGGTAGTACTTAGGGATAGCTGTGGTGTTGAATCTTTCAGGAGGAATTTCCTTCAGTGGTCCGGAATACCCTTTGGGAGAGTAAAGCAAGAACAAGTAAACTCAGTGTCTGAGTGCCTCAGCTCCACCTTCCATTTCATCAGGCAAAGAGTTAAAGAAGAATGCATTCTTTCTGTGATGTCTCAGAAATAAGTAATCTGAAAGTGTCAGACATTTTAAAACCCCGTTTAGCATAAGGCATTTTTAAAAAAACCACTTTTCCTGTTTTAATTTTTTATTTTAAATCATGGTGATACCTTCTGGATCATCTCAGTATACATTTCTACAGTGAAACGACTCATTTAATTTTTAAAGATTGTTCCACATATGTTAATGTATATTATAGACACCCCAATTAATTCATTAATTTGAAAACGTGTGTTGAGTGTCTACTGCAGTCTAGACTATGGGGAAATAGCACTGAGAACAAAATCTCCCTCCCCTCTGAATAGATTTGGGTCTTGTCTATTTTGAATGAGTGCTCTGTGACTGTTTAAGCTTCAAAACAGTGAAGTAACTTGTCTTCACTGTCTTATTCAGATCCGGATCTTCTTGTTTGATGCATCCAGCTTTTGTTTACTTAGTTCCCAAAGATTTCACACCTAACCTTTCAGCGTCTTGTGTTACCTGCTCAATTTATTCCTCTCACATATGCTGGAAAGTTTCTGTAAGTGCCATTTAAAAAGCACAGAAATTGCTGCTGTAAACCATAAAGCATTTCCCATCCCTCAAGTGGCTCTCTTCAGGTGCTCAAAGCACCAGCTGTCTCCTCTCTACCCCACTGCCATGGACCACTTAGGTCCCACGTAGTTCTCTTTTCTGCTGTGTCCATCCTTTGGTCACTTGCTCACTCCTCCTTCTGGATTTCCGTCATGTTCTTTCCCTCCTCTCAGAGGCTTTCTATTTTCTTCTGGTAAACCACACCCATTTTTCATTACAGTAACAAAGTTGATCTCCTTCCAAATCTCTGGATAAGTCCACCTCTAGCAATTACAAGCTTGCAGTAATTTAAGTTTCTTTGGATCGCCTCCAGCAGTTAATGGTCTGCTTTTCACTGCTTGCCACTTAAACACTGGTGTTAACTCAAAATGTTTTTCTTACACTCCAAATTCTGCCTAGAAAATCCACCTATATTCATGACTTCAAATGTGACCTACCTATTGCTGATTCCAAGTTGTTTGTGTGGGGGTGCAGAGTGGGGGAGGGGAAGTCCTCTGTGCAACTACCTACCATATTGTCCAAATAAATATTCTTCTAGTGCCCTTTATATCCTACATAGCACTTCTATGTAGCTATTTTCTAATACATTGAGCTTTTTATCTATTTGTCATATTGGCAGATATTATTATAGCTACATCTCAAGGTGCCAAAACAGAACCATTACGATAAATCCAACCCCCCCCTGCTCCGCCCCCATCTCTACAACAAATCACCAAGTATCACAATCACACATTTTAAGGATTTCTAAAGCAGTGGGCTCTCCAGATGGACTTCTGAGCCACCATGGGCACCTATTTAAAATCTTAGCAATGGATTCTTCTTTCCAAGGGTTGGCTTTATTCTCAATACAAATCATATGCCAGTGATCTGCAAGTAGAAAATTAGGAAACGTTGCTCTAGAAAATTTGCACTTTCTCCTTCATTTCTATTGTTACTGTCATGGTTCAGGCCTTTGTGGGCTGTCACAAAAGCCTCCATACTAATCCTTCAGCTCTCATACCTTTTTCCGGACTTCCTCAATATTGCTGCTGTTCAAGTGACCTTAGATGGAAAATTTGATCCTACCACTCACTTCCCTTTCTTAGGGTGGGAGAAGAGCTCCCCAGGACAAAACTCTAAATTACCCAGCATGACACATATGCTTGTCTGGCCTCATATTTCTGCTGATATTATTCTCTCATATTTCACCTTCATAGTCATAGGCCTGCTATAAGTTTACTGTGACCCCATATGTGTCCCCACTGGTTCACTGCTCCCTGTGCCCGGAATGCTCTCCCTAATTCTCTCACCATGCCCTAACTTGAGATTGCCATTTCTGTCTCCCCCAGAAAATAAGTTAATTTTCTTATTCTTTCCTTTGTATAATCTAGGTGATTCCATTATCATAGATACCAGGTGGTATGTCCTAGTTCTTCCCTCAAATTGATCAGATGTCAACTACATAGAAACTTAAAAAATTTTAATTTTGTGTCTCTAGAAAATTCTTTGAAATCCTACTACAGGCCCTTCCTGGTGGTGCAAGGGATTAAAGTACAGCACTATGAAGCTGGCTATAGCCTCTTCAGTAAGAGTTCGATCCCCGACCCCGCAGGTAACCCGCATGGCGTGCAGACCTCTCCTGACCTGCCCAATGCTCCCCTCAGCAGTGTCTTTGTTGATCTGCCTATTCTGCTCCCCACTCTGTCTCTGGTGAAATCTCTCACCACCCCTGCTCTTCTGGCTGGTACCCCAGTTCTGTATGCATAAATACATAGATCTTAAAAAGAAAAAAAATCCTACTACACTAAAGAATTTTCATTTTGTATATTTTCCCCAGCTTTTCTACACCCATAAACCTAATGATCAAATAACTATCATTCTACTCTACATGTTATTTTGCATTTTATCTTAAGCTACTTTGTTTGAAATACTTCTGAATGTTTCTCCACTGTATACATAATAATTTTAAGGTCTTTATGATAATTGCCTTTAGGGATGATAATTGCTCTAATGTTTTCACATTTTTAAATATTCCTTGTCTTCCTATTTCCTTTTACCAAGTGAATTAACTAATAACATTTTTCTTTTTTTATATGCTGAATTATTTGTTTAACCTCTTAGAAAAATGACAATTCAGCAATACTTCATGCCAAAATTTAATTTAGGTGTTAAAATATGTTTTAATATAACTGATTCAAATTCAAAAGAACTTCATTCCAACAGTATTATGGCATATAATAGTATTCCTGATTCATATCTAAGAAAAGTTGGTTTTTGAAACTTAGTCTGTATTGCATATTTTCTAACATTTAATAATTGGATATTTTAGCTTTAAATAACTATATGAAGTTGTACCTTAAACTTTCTCTTCTACATATAAATATTTATATGTATGTGTGTTATGCATATTATTCACAATAAATAAAATGCATGTATGCTATTAAGTTATGTCTGCAGAGAGAAAGTGAGACAACAAATAAATGTAATATGGATGTTTGTTCTGTCCATATGTGTAAATTCTTGAAGCAAAGAAGCAAAATTTCCTACTCTTTTACAACTACACAGTTATAACAGTCATCACGTGGTAAAGCTTCTAACAGTGATAGAAATTTTAAATTGGATCTACATAAAGATTTCACTATGTCTTTTCCTTCCTATTTTAAAAGCAAGAGGTTGCAGTATAGGTTTTGGAGTTAAAAGAATGTGTATAAACTTTGTTTTATATTAAGAATATAACAATGGATAGGGAAAAGACTAGCATTACCTGAGTTTTTTATAACACATCATGGATGATATGTACATTATCACTCTAACTCCTCACAATGAATCTGTGCAGTGAGATTTATTTTCCCGATTGAGGAAACTGAGATCTCAAGATACTAATTTTTGTTCTCCAAAACAGCAGTAAAATGAGAAGGGACAGAAAGATCCAGAAGGTTGAATCCAGGTCTACATGATTCCAGAGCTTGCTTTCCTGGCTTGTATTTAATGTTATATATAAAGAATCTGCTATTTGTTTTTCTGCCAATAAAAAAAGCTATTTGAAAGCTATTTGAGAAATTTATTATAATGCTTCACTTCAGAATAACTCTATGCATTCTAATTGTTTATTTGGCCTTCTGTTTTATTTTACTACAATATTTTTTCTCATGTCCAATAAGAATATCTTCATAAACCTAAGCTTAAAACGACTTTCACTTTATTTTTAAATAAAATTTAATATTATGCAGTTACTTTATTTTCAAAACACAATTACTCTTTGAGAAGAATTCTGAAAGTGTTTTTGCTAAACTTCCAGTTTATTTTAGAAAAACATGGTAGGTACTGCTAATTTCAAGATAAATGTATTTAAAATAAAAAAAAATCCTTTACACATTACTTGAGGAAATACTTAACATACTTGCTATGAGCTATTTTGAAAACACTATCTGAAAAGCTCGGATTATTTTTCTGATTTCTGATTTCCTAATCTCACAGTATCTCTGAATGACATATACTGGCTTGGATAGGGAGTTGCTTCTCTTTTAAGGTAACACAAAAATAGACAATCTTAAGGGGTTGCATTTAAAGTTCTTTAAAGGAGCAGAGAATAATGAAAGCAATCTCCACAAGGTCACTTCAAGTGAATATTAAATAAATTTGGTACCAGACCTGTATTTAACTCATAAACAGTTACTATGGGCTTAAATAAAAACTTCTGTCACAGCAGTTATATGGAGCTATTGTGGAATTAAGGAGATAGTATATACCAAAGCTTTCATAAATTGAACAGTCCTATACAAGTAGAATTTAAATTTACTTCACTTAGCTTTTACTACAATAAATAATTGCCAGCAAATACAAAAGACCATCTGACAGAACCTAAGATGGCTACATATGTTTTGCTTGGTCCTGTAGGTTTAAATCTTTACATTTATCCTGAACTTAACCACAAAATAGGTAAGGAGAAAAGCTCTCATATTTAGGCCCCACTTACTAAAGGATCCAAATGACATGAATCATGATAGGCACAGCAATCTTACCGTTTTCTTGTCAGGAATAAGTTACCTGGTGCAATGTTGTCTGGATTCGGGGGACTTCGTGGATCCGGGGTGTTGGGAGGAGTGAAGGGGGCTTGCTGTGAGCCACCATCCAAGCTGTGTCCATCCAGTTTCCCATTCTGCATGGCAATATTGTGCTGTATTTGATCAAAAGCAAACTGATTTCAGCTCAGTTAGGCACGCTAAAAGGAGATATGGGCAAGACTCCATTTATATGGACCCTATACCATCTTTTACAAAAGATGAAAATTCTTTGCTAATTTAATTGTAAATTCAAAGCCAACTGAGATAAATATAGGATGTGTGTATGGATCACACATAGAGAGTTCCTTTTTCTAAGTTCCTGAAATGTGTCCATGAAATGTATGTCACCAAAACTTACAGTCCACTCGATCTATATTAATAAAAATCAAGTACTGACATAGTGCATAGACTTTTTCTTGGGAATTAGTGGAGAGCAGGAAAATCAACTCTTTGTAGCTAGCCACTAATTATCAGGAGACACCCAGTAACTCTATTATTGTTAAGTATACAAGCAAAGCTTTATAATGGCTGGGTAGAGAGTTGTTTTAGTTATGACATAAACCTTAAATTATAGGTTTCCATTATGGAGGATTTTCTTCAGGAAAAGTTGAAAAGACAAATAAAAATGTTTTCCTTTTTATTATGGTTAAGTTGGTCCTCAACAAATTAAAACCAAAGCGATAACTTATAGGTTAACAACAAATAAATTATGAAAACATGTATAATGGATATGATTTCTGTTAAAATGCCCATAGAAATAAAAGGTTTAAAAAGTGTATTGTGTGATTTTCACCAGATACATAAAACTTGTATTTTGAGCAAAATACAGAAGTCCAGTATATTCATTTGGTTTTATTTCACTATTTTTTATAGTATACTTTCCTTTTTTCTCAGTATTATTTCACATTTTGGAGATTTCAAAGAAGCCCATAGTTATGAAATACCTGTGTTTTCTGACTTGTAAAACATGGATTGCTTGCTTCATATCTTCTGTTAGTAATTTATAGAAAACTTTTAATTATCATGAGTCACTCTTGTATTTTATTTTCTCTTGCTTGCTTATTTTCTTCGTCTATTTCTATTTTGACTTTTTTGTATAAGAAGTCGATCAGCTTTTTATCTAGGTCCTCAAAATAGGCTTGTGTAGAATACAAGTATATTTCTACTTTTTAAAATAACAGCTTTCTTGTTATTGCTTATAGCATGGAAGGTTTGTGTGGTTTGAATTTGCCAGTTTCTTATCAGAGTAACCCAGAGCTGAAATTAGTATTATTTCTTAAATAATACTAAATATTTGAACAAAGGGTATCAATAATGTCTTAAATGGTATAATAAAACAAGAAATATGTAAGTTGAATAAATTATTTTGACAACATAACTCAAGGGAAGATAATAAAAGTAAAAGCTCATTTCAGAAAATGTTGTGAATGAATTAGATTAATGTCATCATTTAAAGAAGATTCAAGAATTACATTATAACTAAAGACTTCTTCCAATGTTATCTTGTCTACATCCCTAGATAATGACTATATTTATTTCTTTGAGCTGCAAGCACAGTATCTAAAACAGTAGGCATTCAATAAATATTTGTTAAAAGCATAAATAAATGAATGGAAATAGAACTGAACCTAATGTTATTTTTAAAATTCCTGTCATGTCAACAATGTTTCTTTCAAGTTGTACACAGTGCCTTCATCAAGCAAACAAATCATCATATAGTGTGGCTCACTTTGTCAATGATGTATGGTACAGGTTATTCTTAGAGTGCAGATCAGAGAACCCAGATAATTAAAGCCAGAAAGCACCTTCAAGAACATGAGTCCATCTACTTATTTTATAATTGAAAAATCAGGTCCAGAATGGTAAAGAGAGTTTTAAATAAGCTCCAAATCCCATGACTGGTGGAAGAGCCGGACCTACACCTGGTCTCCCCGTTCCCAGGCCAGCAAGGGGAATTAAGTATGGGTGCCAAGAACTCTACAATTCTAAGAGCTGGCTTAGAGTCATCTTTATTATGGTGTTGCTAAGATCAAATCAGTTTACTTCCCTGAATACTACTTTCCTCATTTCTAAAGAAGGGGGAGTACATTTCATCAGACTTTAGACTATATTATATTGCATTGCAGTCAACTTTATGGTTTACGGCCTTGAGTTATTGATCAGCATTTATTTTATTTATTTCAGTCCACCTGTTCTGGACAATTTTAATTATTTTGAGCCCAATTTTCTAGGAACACAGAAAAATTACCAATACTTTCTTACACATGTTATATATAATCAGAACGTGTTACCACATGCATGGAAAATCACTATCAATAATTTGAAATACTAGTGATAGAAATATTCTGTCTTAAGGACATTTTTAATCTCATTGTCTTTTTCCAGAACTATAGTTATTGTTAGAGTCGTACACACTAACAATAACATCATTATTCATTCATTCAGCTGTCTAGACTTGTAGATGACTTTGTAAGGCACCTTATTGTATATTAATTATCCCACAAAACTGCTTCACTGTGATTATAACTGAAAGAATATGATTATAAAATCAGACCCTGTTAGATGGGCTAAGTATTATTTTAAGCTCCTACTGTATTAGCTGAGAATATTTTTTTATAAAATGACATTGGGCATAATTACAGGGTCAAATTACATTTATCCATGACTTCAAGTAAAAACTCAGCTTTTAAATGTAAGTATTTTAGTTGACTGAGATTAAATGTCTAACTAAATTCATAATTAGAACTAGATTCAATCCATGGATTGAAGGATGCTCATTACTGTGAGGGAAAATGATTTAAGATGTTCTCTCAACACTTATGTTAATCAGAAACATAACAAGGAAAATAGAAATTTGGATAATGAATAAAATTTTAGTGCTTGTGGGGGTAGATGTTAGTTCTACAAGGTGTTTCAGTAATTATGATAAAGGAGGGCAATGAAATCAGTCTGTTTGCTGTAAACATTCAAACATTTGCTGCATATTCAAAACCTATTATTGATACAGCTGGAAAATGTTCAGTTTTGAATAGTGCAGACTCTTCATGGTTATACAAAGAAACCTGCAGGCAATAAAACATTTCCTGTAGTTTGCCATTTCTTCAAATGTAGACAGTCTACTATTTTCTTTCAATTCCTGATGTCTTGTATTTATTTTTTAGGATTTTTTTTTTTACTATGAACAACTAAAATCTTTCTAAAAGATAGTTTAAATAATATAGCATTATTTAATATGTAAATGCAATTAAATTAACTAGTTTGTTTACTAACTTTCAGTTGAGGAAGGCTTTTTTCAGAGTGTTGTCCACAGTGCTTCTGTTATAACTCCAGACTCCCTGCCCAATGTGGAGTAAATGCTTTGAAAGGGTGAGGTATGTCTATACTTCCCAGGCACACTTCAGTGCCAGCATGTATTCCGCCAATGAAAGGCACACACTTGGTGGAGTGCTATGGGTTTTGGAATTACTTCCATCCCAAACAATTGGTGTGATAAGACCATGGAAACTTTCAGTACCACCATTCTCCACTCCCTCTCCCTCCTCTTAGCTGAACAGACCAGTTCTTCCATGCCAAATCTATGAGCTTACAAAAGTTCCCATTGAACTAAAATGATACTCATAACAAATACAATACTCCTTTTGTTTACACACCTAAACTACTCATTGTCATGGAAAAAAATGCTCTAACAGAAAGCAAATATGTCGAATACTTGCTTGGAAATAAAGGAATATATAGATTTAGAAGTGCTGCCATTTAAATACCACACTATCACCTTATACTTACATTAATTTGTGTTTTAGATTCATACTGGAAATTTTCAAATGTGTACTTGTCAGATCTCCTCTGCCGCATCTTAAAGAGTCTGGCACCACGGTTACTGAGATGGGATAGTTCTTCCAACATGATGTCTCTGGGGATGCTGATCTTTTTGCCCAGGTCCATGCCATCTACATCTGCAAAACAATATCCCTGTGTGTGAAATCACCAAGGTAAGCATTTTTAAAAATGCTTTGCTGGCCCTCCCTTGTGGCTCAATGGATTAGGACGCAACATTGCAAGCTGGCCACAGCCACTTCAGTGTGAGTTCAATCCCCAGTCAGGGCAGTGACCCACATGGTGCAGCAGACCTCTCCTGTCTCCCTGCTGCTCCCCTCAGCAGTGTACTTTGTCCATCTGCCAGCACTGCTCCCCACTCTGTCTCTGGTGAATCCTCTCACTGCCCCTGCACCTCTGGCCTGTACCCCAGTTCTGCATGCATGCATAAATAAAAATCTTTAGAAAGAAATGCTTTGCCACACTCTGTAAGTTATTACCTCTTAGATGCCAGTGTGGTGAAGACATAGATTCTTTATTCATACAGCTTTGGGTTAAATCCTGTTCCACTGCTTTCCGATGTGTATAGTCATAGATATATAACCTATTCTTTCCCTAAACTTCACCTTCCTTGATCCTAAAGTGGGGCTAATATTTATAAACAAACAGTTATCAATGACCATATGGTTAATATGAGGATTTCATTAAATGCTTCATATACAGAAGTGTAGCAGGGTACATGAAACAGAGGGTGAATGGAATTTGGTTGTCAATAGTAATAGTAGGAGTTAGTTGTAAGCTCTGGAACAACAACAGAATTACTTATTAAATTTTACTTCAAAAAATTAATTACATATTACACGAGAGGAGCTCCACTAATTCTAAAGCATATAACATTAGTATTTCTGCATCTAGGAAGAGAGAGTAGATATACCTTTCATTACACATCTACCAAGTACTACTAAAAATCCTGGACATTATGTATAAAACAAGCATAAATAGCCACTGAAAGGTGGCGAGAAGACCAGTTTGGGATCTCTAAACCCGAGGTATAATACAGTGGTAAATTTTCTGGGGTTTCCTTCAGCCTCATTTACCCCAAGATGGACCTATGATACCAACAACCCAGAAAAACCAATAGGTGCCCAAACAAAGTGCCAAACAAAGATTATTCTCACTAGTCAACAGACCAACACATGCACAATGGAAATTCTGGGATCAACTCTTCTCACTCTGTAATTCTCTGGAGACTTACCAATATACTGTGTTTCAATAACTTGTCCATTTTGATTACTGATACCATGACATGAATGAGTCACTTTTTTGACCATTTACCACTAAGTTGCCTCTGATGATTCCATCAGGCAGATAGTGATTGATAGGAGTCTCCTGGCTACATCAGTGTCGACAGTCAGGTTGTGATTGTTGTACTATAGGTTTGCAAGATGTTACTACTGGTGAAAACAGGGAAAAGATACATGGTACAGTTTGACTTTGCTTCTTAGCATTGTATGTGAATCACTAGTATCTTAAAATAAGAAGAGCTATCGGGCCCTCCCTGGTGGCGCAGTGGGTTAAAGCAGAGCACTAAGAAGCTAACGCCACTTCAGCATGAGTTCAATCCCCGCCAGCCCCAGAGGTGATCCACATGGCGCGGCAGACCTCTCCTGACCTGCCCACTGCTCCCCTCAACAGTGTACTTTGTCAATCTGCCTATTCAGCTCCCCACTTATCTCTGTTGAATCCTCTCACCTCCCCTGCACCTCTGTCCTGTACCCCAGTTTTGTATGCATAAATAAATACATATTTAAAAATAATAAGAACTGCTATCAAGCCATTGAAAGACACCAATGACTCTTAAATGCTTATAGCTAAGTAAAAGAAGTCAGTCTGTGAAGACTATACTAACTGTATGACAGTCTGGAAAAGACAAAACCACAGGAAGGATAAAAAGATGAGTGGTTGCCAGAGATCTGTGGGGTTGGTGGGGAGGATGAAGAGGTGGAGCAGAGAGGGTGAAGAGAATGAAACTATTATATAGGACACTATAATGGTAGATACATGACTTATGCATTCATGAAAACCCTTAGTTTTCAGAGAGTGAAAATTAATGAAAATGTGGACTTCATTTCACATTAATAATGTATATTATTTAATCCTTAATAATAGTGTATTAATATTGGTTCATCAACTGCAACAAATTACTACCCTTATACAAGATGTTAATACTAGGGGAAACTGTATAAGGAGGAAAAGGGGTATACAAAAACATTTCATACTTTCAACTCAATTTATCTGAGAAGTTAAGTTTATTAATTTTTAAAATTGCAACTTAAAATTTCATTGCTTTTTATAATGCAATGCAGGCAAGATTTGTCTGTTGCTCTGATGTGCAAAAAGAATTTTTTTTTTTTTGCTCAGTGTTACAATTTCCATAGGATGGCAAAAATTACCAATGAAAGAGGAATCAGAACATTCTATATGGAGCAGAATAGATGAGAATTTGCTCGCCAGCTCTGCTGAATTCTAAATATTCACCTTTGTGTGTTTGCCATCTCTGTTACTGTGTGCTTGGACATGAAAGGAGATGTGTGCTATTTCTCAGGGTCCATGAATGTACACCCCAATATGCCAGAGAGTGTGATGATGATGTGGTGGAGCTATTTCAATTTTTGAGTCTGGGATCAAAAAAGCAAGTTCCTTTTAGATCACAAAGGACAGAAGAGATAGATTATTGCGCATACTAATTAGATGCTATACAAATGGAAAGCTATTCTGTAAATGTTTCTTAAAATAATTCCATTGGCAATGAGAGATAGAGAACAAGAGAAAAAGAGAGAACAAAATATTAACACAGAAAATTGAAAATAAAAATGTTTGTTCTCTTAATGAAATGCACAATGTCTATAATGCAGTTATGTTACTAATGAGGTTTTTAAATTGTTTTCCCTGAAGAAGCTTCCTAGTGGGACAATTTGAAGAAATAAAAAAAAATCTCCAAATAGTCATCCATTAGAAAATGCAGAGGTGACAGGTTTTTTACAGGACTGGAATCTTTTTCATTGCAATGAAGACTACATAGTTTTTCATGGACTACACATAAAGAAACTAATTCAGGGATGCAAATTTCCTTTCATGGTATTACCAATTTGAGTCATTATAAAGACTCAAGTGAAACTAGAAGTACTAGAAAAAGAAATAGCATATTACTATGCTAATCTCCATGAGTTATACATTTCGAGATATGGTGTAAATATAATCTGGCGGCGCCAAGACAAAAGTTTGACAGAATATTTCCATACTAGCGAGTTCCACCCAGGTCTCTGAAATAACCACGTGACTAATCCTGCGGTCCTCCCCCCCCCCCCCCCGAGATTCACAATACTCTTCTGGAGTGTGTTGGGCAGGAAAGAACCACTTGTGATTCATCCAGGAACAGGTAAGGACCTGATCTAGGCTGATAAGAGTGACTGTGAGGACTTTTCTCTGTGGGGGAGGGGGAAGGAGGGGGTGCTAGGGCTTTATTTTCTGCTGCATGTAAACACAGAAGTATTTCGCCTGGGGAAACTGTTGGCTAGTACTCATAGAAAGACAGAGCCAGCCTTGGAGTGAAGCTTATATGGAAGGCGGAATAGCAGTGGCCTCCTTAGTGGTGGACGTTAGCTGCTCGATGAAGCCCGACGAAGCCCTACCACACCTCCTCGGAATCTATCAAGTATGTGGACCAGTAAATTCCTTTCATTATTTAGGCTAGTTGCTTCCTAACTTTCTGTCATTTTCCATTTAAAAGCATGCTCACTGCTTTAGTTATCCTCTCTAGATATTCACCTCACTGATGTAAGTCCATGAAATATATGTTAAGGGATCCTCAAAGAAAAGACAGAGAAGAGAGCAGAAGGATTAAAACAAAAAAAAAGGGCACAGACCTAGCCACAGTGAGTGGGACCCCTAAGACCAATAACTCCTCTTTAGCAAGGTTCCGCAGCCGTCACTGATGTGGCTACAGGAGCAGGTGTGCAGTAGGAGCCCAGGGGAATTTGCACCCTCCAAGAAGCAATCAGCACGGCAATCCACTGAGTCTAGTAAATTCATAGCACAGGAGAGGCATCATCCAAGACAAAATGAAAAAGAAGATTCACAAAGTATTTTGCCAACTCTCAACCTCTTTGCTTGCTTTTCCTATTCCACTTCAACGCCCTTAAGCCTTAATTTTCTCCTCCTGTCCTGTAAGGAGCGAATAGGGAGTTGCCTTTATTTGAGTGATAGTAGGGTTTGGGAGCCAGAGCTTCTGGATGACAAGTTCATGATGAGCCAATCTGTATACTGATTCCTAGAGCAGATCGTGAAATATTCAGTGAATCTGTGAGCCAGCAGCAAACCCAGTGAACACAAGCATTATTAAACTTCAAAGCAATAAACATTCAAAATAATTATTTTCTAATTCTTTTTGCTATTGATGTAGTCTATATCTCTCATATCTATATGGTAGAAATGCAGTTTAATTGTATACCACTGAGTATCTTTTCCAAACCCAGCTTCCAGTACATCCTTCATGTTTGGTTGAAAGTGGTCATAGTGGAAGTGTTTATTTCTCAGAAACTGGCCCACTCTACATACCAAAGCATTTTTCTCATAGAGAACCAGTCGTTAGATATCTATTAGCACACTACACATGGGAATATATTAAGTCAATGCATTTTCTATAAACAGACAACAAAAGACATAAACTAAAAATCTCAATATTTTCTTCCATTCCCTTCCCTTCCAATAGTTAACTTCTGGTATAACTGGAGAAGGTGTTTTCAGCTGTTTGTGAGTTGGGAGTCTGCTGACTTATGGGTACTCTCATTACTCAAACTTTCATGAAGAACTTTGTCAACTGAGCACATAGAGTCCACATTCAGCTGTTCCCTGCCCTTTATTCTGTTCAGGGTCTCACAGTGTATTTGTCCTGAATGCCTGATAAATGATACAACTAATTCAGAATACATGTCCTTGCTCTGACGGATTAGAACCTGGTCTTTACGGCATTAGATCATCTATTGAAAATAATGTCACCAGGCATACTTTCCTACTGACGTCATTGCCAGTGATCCAGCATTTTCCATTAATTTGTAAATATTTTATAGGAATGAATTAC